AGCCCGTCGAGGCCCTCGACGAAGGCTGCCCTGCCGCCGTAGGAGAGGGTGCCCGACGCGACGCACAGCTTGCCGCCGTCCGCGCCGAGGCTGGCGAGCGGACGCGTGGGGCGGTAGGTCGCGGAGACGACGTAGAGCGGCTGCTCGACGACGACTCCGTTAGGCGCCGTCCAGCCGGGCGGCTCGACGCGCTTGAGTCGGAAGAGGGTGTTTGGCGGGAAGACGGCGTAGATGCCCGGCTTGATCACGACGCAGCAGTGCAGCCCGTGCTCGTCTTCGGGCGCAGAGTCGAAGCGGACGACCGGCGAGTCCTGCGGCTCGAAGGAGACGTTGCCGGCCGCGTTCCGGTGGTAGACAGCGTGGCCGCAGCTCGTGAAGGCGCTCGCGCCGGTGCCGAAGTCTGCGGCGACAAGCGACGAGGAGCAGACGCCGCAGAAGCCGGTCGAGTCTGGCACCGTCAGCCTCTCCCAGGCAGGGTCGCTGTTTGCGAGCGAGTTGAGGCCGCGCAGATTGGTGAAGGTGGGCGCAAAGTCGGAATCGCCCGCATCGCCCTGTCGCAGCGCCTGCGCGACGATGGCGTCGCACAGCGCGAAAGTGGAGCCGGCGTACCGCCTGTCCCGCTCGCGCAGCCGCCGCGCCAGCGCCCACCGCTTGCTCGTGAGACACGCGTACGCCTCCGCCTCGTGCCTATGGAGAGGCTCCGAGGAGATCTAGGGAAGGGTCATGGAGACACGCGTAACGCCTCCGCCTCGTGCCTCGGCGCGCCCAGCGCCACCAGCGGCGCGATGTCGCTCCCCTCGAGCTTCGAGAGCCACTTGGAGAGCGGCTCATGCTCTGCCACCCACGCCGCGTCCCGCGTGACTCCGCTGACCCGCGCGGCGCCGGACTGCTCCAGGTTCTCCGCGTAGAGCTCGGCCCACTCGGACCGCCACGCGCCTGGGAGGGTTGAGAGAAGGCTCAGGGGAGGCTCTCTCCGCGTAGAGCTCGGCCCAAGCTAACACGTGCCCAAGCCACGGCCCGCCAGTGCTTCTCTCTGCTCTGAGAGGCTCTATCGGACCGCGCCTCCGTCGTCGGGCGGAGGGAGCAGCTCGGAGAGGGCGACGAGGTGGCCGGCGCGAGTGGAAGGCGCAGCCGCCTCTACCACGGACTCGAGCGCGGAGAAGGCCGCCGCCTGCGCCGCAGGAAAGCCAAGGAGCACCTCGCGGAGATTCGTGACCACCTCTTCTCTGCCGCCGCGGTCGGCCGAGGCGGCAGCGGCAGCAGCGGCGGCAGCGTGTGAGGCAACCTCAGCCAGCCGTGCCAGCAGCGCCGCCGTGGCCGCGACAGCAGCACCTGCCGAGTCGTCCTGAGGATCGTCCTCCTGCACTGCGGCCGCTTGCGCGGATAGAGCGGCCGCTCTCTCCCCGAGGCTGGCCCCACGCAAGAGCTCGAGCGCGACGGCGGTGCACGGGTCCTTTGGCTGCTCGGCCAGCGCCTTGCCGACCGCTTTGCCAAGGCGCAGCTCAAGCGGGCCGCGCCAGCAAGACAGGTACTCCTCCACGGAGCCGGCGGCAGCGCAACCCGTCGGCATTGCTCCCACGGACGTCGGCATTGTCACGGCGACTCGCACAGTAACAACTCCTTGAAAAAGAATTTTACAAACTGAAAAAGAATTTTACCACGATACCTGTGTGAAACACATTATTATGATTCGATCGACGATTCCAGTCTCGTCGCGCTTGGCGGCGGAGCGGCGGAGTGAGAGGCGCCTGTGCATGCGGCCGAGAGGCGCCGTCGTCATGCAGGAGCCGGCGCGTCGAGCAGGGCCAGCACCGGCAGCGCGGCCGTCGACAAGGTAGCGACAAGGAAGAGAGCGGCGCTTTCGGCACAGGGCTGACGAAGAGAAAAGACGCCGGCGGCGGGCGGAGGCGATCAAGGCGCGAAGAGGGCCAGGTCACGGCGACTTCGCCGGACGGCGCGGCGAGAGGATCTGGCTGGCGGACGGCGATAGGTGGTCGGCGAGCGTCGAGCACTCTGTGGCCAGACTCAGATGCTTACAAGAGGGTGTCGGGTGAGAGGGAAAGGGCTGGCCCACCGCGGGTAGGGTTGCCGTGCGTGTGGTAACACTGTTTGAAATGGGTGATGTTCATCTTCACAGCAGTGCCTGAAATGAGTTCTTTTTGCGGGTCTCAGAGCGTCTAGCGAACGAAAGCTGAGGAAGGAACAAAAGGCAACGGGGAGAAAGCGAGAGCCAGAGCCGGGTCCATCCCAGAGAGAGCGACGAAAAAAGCGGGACACGCCTTTCGGTCACTTGAGCGGCCTTCAGGGCATCGAGGAGCTCTTTGTGCCGGCGCGACATCTTGACACCGCGCCTGTTTCTGTAGACAGCGCCGAACTCCCTGCCAAGTACAACGCCCCGCGGATAGAGCCGTACTTGCCCCGGGTGTTTGCCCCGCGTCTGAGAGCTCCGTGAGGCGTGTTTTGCCGATTTTTTGTCTCTCGAGGTCTCGCGGGAAATTAACGGCTGCGGCAGGGGCTGGCGTGGCTCCTCACATCGCGCAAACATGCCAGCTCTTTGGTCTGGTTGAGGCGCGTCTTCCATCACGTCTGTCGTCTCCCATTTGGCCCCCTACCTAAAACTAACAGCGTACTAAACAGCGCTCGCTGCTGAGATATTCCGACAGACAGGGGAAAGGGATGCCAGCCAGTGCACGTCGTGCTGTGAGCCGAACCAGAGCGTGGAGGGCACTCACATTCACGCTGTCCGACCCTCCACTCACATTCACCCCTCAGCGACGAAGGGTGTCCGGAGCCCCCCCCCCCCCCCCCGCCCACCCGCGACGGCTCCAGATACTCGGTAGGTTGGGGCCGGTGGCACTGCGACACGCCAAGCCCCAGTGGCTGGCGGCACGCCGGCGAGAGGAGCGAAGCGCGCACAGAACACTGCGCGGGCCGGAGACCAACGCGTTTCAGACCCCCCCCCCCAACACGCGAGCCCCGAGGTACCTGTTCGTCGTGCTGCACACAGCTGCACACCTATTGCTCGCGCAGCGAACGCGCGCCGGCCCCGCGCCCTTGCCGACCGGGGCTCGAGAGACTCAACGCAGCTCGATCGAGAGGCTCAGAACCGCCCGATGCCGCGCTCCTCGCACACAGCCACCAGATCGGGCTGCTCCTCGTTGTCGCCCACCCAGAGCTCCTGCACGCGAGGGGAGGGGTGATGAGTGTTGGGTGGGGAGCTGTGCTAGGAGGTGTGTGGCAGGGTGGTCTCTCTGTTGCGCCTTCAAGCTCGGGGCGCCCCCCTCCTTGAGGGCGGCGGCCAACGCCTCGCAGCCCTCGTCGCCAATCTGGTTGCGGTTGAGAGCGAGCATCTCGAGCCGCGGCGCTGCACCCTCCTTGAAGGCGGCAGCCAACGCCTCGCAGCCATTTTCGCCAATCTCGTTCTCGGTGAGAGAGAGCATCTCGAGCCTAGGCGCTGCCCCCTCCTTGAGGGCGGCGGCCAGCGCCTCGCACCCCTCGTCGCCAATCTGGTTGTCGTCGAGCGAAAGCTTCTCGAGCTGCGGCGCCCCTTCCTTGAGGGCGGCGGCCAGCGCCTCGCAGCCCTCCTCGCCAATCTGGTTGCTGTAGAGATTGAGCTCCTTAAGACGCGGCGCCCCTTCCTTGAGGACGGCGGCCAGCGCCTCGCAGCCCTCCTCGCCAATCTGGTTGTCGTCGAGACGGAGCGTCTCGAGCCGCGGCGCTGCCCCCTCCTTGCCGAGGGCGGCAACCAGCGCCTTGCAGCCCTCATCATCAATCTCGTTGTAGCCGAGATTGAGCGTCTCGAGCCGCGGCGCTGCCCCGCTCGCGAGGACCTCCGCCAGCTGCGCCGCCTCCGCGTCGCCCCAGCCGAGGCCGTAGTAGCCCAGCTTGGTCGCCTTGCCGAACTGCTCCTCGAAGGCGGCCTCGTACAACCGCTGCACCAGCGGCTTGTCGTCCTTGCCGTTGGTGAAGGTCTTCGCCTCCAGCTCCGCCGCGAAGGCAGACGGCAGCAGCGGAGGGCGCCGGCCGCCATCCCGCTTGCAGTCGCCGATGAGGCTGCGGTAGTCGTACTCGTTGTCGTCGCGCATCAAGCCGAGGTCGAGCGCGCGGGCGCCGTCCTTGGTCCCCAGGCTCGCCAAGCTGTTCTCGAGGTAGCACCAGCCCCGGTCAAAGTACTTGGCCACGTTGGTGCCCTCGGCCTGCTCCTCCGCCTTGTGGACGTCCGGGAAGGAGGTCAGCCGCAGCACGATCGTGTGCGGGTGGGAGTAGAGCGTGCCGAGGCAGCCAAGCCCCTGCTTGAAGAGCGCGTTCTGCTCCTCGGTGCGCATGACGCCGTTGGGGGCGTCGGGGTGCTGGTGCAGCGAGCCAAAGTCCCAAAAGACGCCGAGCCGTGTGATGAAGGGAGAGGTGAGCAGGGCCTCGAGCGCCTTTGCAACGCGGGCGAGGTTGGCTCCGCGCGGGTCGGGGTGGCTTGGTGTCAGCCACGGGCTGGAGAGCGCGGCGACAGGCAAGTCGACGAGGTCGTGGAGCAGCAGCTGCTGCTCAAGCGTGAGTTTGGGAGAGGGAGTGGTCGCCTCGACGAGGTCGGCGAGGGAGAGAAAGGCCTCTTTGGGCAGCGCCTGGCGGTGTGTGAGGACGCCGCCTGCCTCGGCGCGGCCGATGATCCACTGCGCGTCGAGGAGGGCGACGGCGCCGCTCGCGAGGACCGGCTCCAGGTCGCCACCACCGCGCTTGCGCCACTCCTCCAGCTTCGTCTCGCTCACGCCGCGATCGGTGGCGGAGGGGAGGGCGGCGGCCGGCGGCGCGGCGTTATCGGCGGGTGTCGGGGCGTCGCGTTCGACAGCGGGAGGGCCAGGCAGCTCCTCTGTCGGGCTCTCGACGCGGCTGGAAAAGCAAGCCATCGTGAGAAGGCGAGACGCCGCCCCCACTTTTGGTTTCCACTTTTGGTCGACCACCTGACCGAGCTGCGAAACAACGGCGTCCAAAACCTGCCGCTCTTTTTCCGTTTGTCTGACCCTGCAAGTCGGTTTTCTTTGCGAGAAAAATGGCTCGCGAGGTGGGAGGTGCTAGTATGAGCCCGCTGAGGCGCAGTGCTCTTGCAGAGGCGGTTAGTGGTGCACTAACCCCGAGAAACCCTTCGGATCACTCCTCATCGCAAACCCTGTCAGCAGTCCTCCTCCGGGAATGTACGTAAGAGCCAGGGGATTGAAAATTCGTTCCCTTGGGTTGTCCGTTTTCTTTCTTTCTTTCTTTAGAATCACAATTTCAAGACGACCAAGGGTTAGGGTGGGCGACGGCTAGCACCACACTCCTCTCCTTAAAATCCCTGTGTGGTGGCGGCGTGCCGCCCTTCCATCCCTCCCTTGGGTTGTCTGGTTTCTTTCTTTCTGTCTTTACATTCACTCAACAGGCAAAGCGCGGACGAAGCCGTCGTTCTCGCAGAAGCATGGTCGAGAAAAAGAAATTTACGAGCAAACTCCTCGCACGACTCGACCGCCCTCGCCGCAGGAGCGGCCGCACACTGCTCGGTACCCCCCCTGCACATCTAAAGCCATGGCCGACCCCCCCCCCCAGCAGCAGCGCTCTGCTGCTGGGGGGGTCGGGACCCCCCCCCCCCCCCCCGCAGGAGCGCTCTGCTGCTGGGGGGGGGGGTGCTGGCATCTCTGTTACCGACAGCTGTAAGTAAGTACGGTTAGCGTTCCATCGTCGGCGAGGTGCTGGATATTAAATGGCTTGAGGGCGAGCCGCATGGCTTCCACCACGTCGCTGCCCGCCATTGCGGCGACGCGTCGCGGCGGACCTGACAGTTTTGCCGCGCGACGGGCCGCGCGCGCGTTTCGAACGAAAAGAAAAGTCAAGCTCAGTCGATCGATTTCGACGAGCGAGCGATCCGAGGATCGAGCGGGGGACCGATAGGCTAGAGAGATCAACGCTGATCGATCAACGTCAGCCGAGACGCCCGAGTGAGTGGCTCACTATACACGGCTTTTAGTGGTAGTACAAGATAGAATCACGACCATGGTCACAAGTCTTTAGTAAAACGCCAGCACTCGACACGACGAAGGTGTATTGAAAAATTCGTCTTGTCCTTTCGCCTGCGGAAAAGCGTTCAGGGACCCCATTCGTGTCCCCGCCCGCCGGTCTCAACTCGATTCATCTAGCGCATCGGACCCTCCGCTCTCCCCGCTCAGCACCGCAGCACCATGGCAAGCACCCCGCAGAAGGGACGCGGCTACTTCGTGAGCTGCCCTGCAGCCCCCATACTGCACCGCCGTCCCAGGCACTCCTGAATCGCCCCACGCACCTCTGTCCACACAGGGCGAAATGGCGGAGACGCCGGGCGGCAACCAGACGCCGGGCAAGGCGTCCAAGAAGCTCAAGGACTCCAAGTTCGGCGAGACGATCGTCGAGGAGGTGCGCTCCCGCTACACGGCCGCCCTCTCTCACCTTCCTGACCCCGCGTTGCGCCTCCTTCAGAACCAAGTGAGCGTGACCGTCATGCTGACCGGCGTCGCCCTCGTCGAGATGGGCTACGACAAGGAGCTGCGGGTGTGAGCCTCCCCCCCTCCCCTTCCCCATCTGGGCCCGTCCTGATCCCCAGTTCCCGTCGGAGTAGGACGCGCTCCAGGCCGGCATGTACGAGATGGCCGAGGCGCAGGGGTGCATCAACACGTACCTGCCGCAGCATGTGACGCGGAACCGGATTCTCGACTTTCAGGGTGAGACGTGGAACAGGTGGAAGGACAAGCGCGAAATGGAGCGGCCCAACAAGAACTATGTGCGCCTCCCCGGCGCAGAGGGGCCCCCGGAGGGATGCTCAACCGCTCCACGCCACGCCGCTTGCGGCGGTCCTCTTCCCAGCTCCGAGGGCGGGTGCGTTATTTCCAGAGTCCAGAGCGAACTCCGAAACCGAACGAACCGCGAGTTCACCGAACCAGTTCATGAACCAGTTCACCAGTTCACCCGCGAACTCGAAGGGCTGGCCCTGACCCTGGGGGGTGCGCGGTCGCACGCGCAAACTGAGATTTCTTTCTTCTTACATCCAGGGCCGAAGGCGAAGAAGAAATAATTTCTTTATTCCACGGTGCCAACAACTCTCTCTTTACGACGAGCGCTCCCATGCCTGGCCGACCAAAATCTGGCTCGGCCGACACCCGGCGCGGACGCGCTTCAACGGCGCCACAGGCTGCGCCGCTCGCGCTGCCGAAAAAGATCGAGACAGCGGCAACGGACGGCAAGGCGGGCGTGGTGCAGACGTGGCTCGCCGGGGACGGGCAGGTTGACGCGACGTGCGTGCATCGCGGTGTGAGTGGCTGTACGCTCCTGCTGATCGCCGCCGGACACGGTCACAAACAGCTGGTCGAGGTTCTGCTGAAGCGGGGCGCGAAGCCGGACGCGCAAAACAGCATCGGCACTACGCGTAGTGCACTGATAACCGCCGCCATCAACGGCCACGTGAAGGTGGCCGAGACGCTGCTGCAGCACGGGGTGGAGATCGACCTGCAGGACGGCAACGGCCACACTGCGCTCACGAGCGCCGCCTACTACGGCCACCCTGTCGTCGTGCTCCAGTTGCTGCGGGCGGGCGCAGACATGGCGTTGCGCACTGCGGCGGGCAAGACGGCGCTGCAGATCGCCAAAGAGAAGGGTCACACCGAGTGCGTCGCCGCCGTCAAGACGTTTCTCGGCGAGGTGGCGGCGGTCGAGGCGGGCGGCGCGGGGGCAGGCAGCGCTTCGGGCGGCAGCAGCGGGCCTGTTCCCGAGGAGATCGGCGCGGCGGGCGGCGCGGGGGCGGACGGCGATGCCGCCTCGGGCAAGGGGGCAGCGGCAGCACCAACTGCCGCGTCCTCTTCTGGCGGCGTGGACGCCGTCCCCGAGGAGGTCGTGGAGGCGGCTAGGCAAGACGACGAGGCGACGGTGCTGGCGTGGCTCGACGGCGGTGGGCGGATGGATGCGACCTTCACTGTGAAGGGTGCGAGCGGCTTTACGCTGCTGATGTTCGCCGCCCTCCACGGCCACGAGCGGCTGGCCGCGACGCTGCTGCAGCGTGGCGCTTCGGTCCACTTTGCGCTGATGTTCGCTGCCCTCAACGGCAACGAGCGGGTGGTCGACTTGCTGCTGCGGCACGGCGCGGAGATCAACCAGCAGGACAACGAGGGCGAGACCGCGCTGATGATCGCCGCCGGCATGGGACACCCCACCGCTCTCCACTGCCTGCTGCGGGCGGGCGCCGACACGAAGCTGCGCTCGGCGGCTGGCTGCACAGCGCTGCAGATTGCCAAGAAACAGGGCAACGCCGAGTGCGTGCGCGCCTTTGAGGAGCATGCGGCGGCCAAGGCGGCGGCAGAGAAGGCGGCGAAGGAGGCGGCGTGGGCTGCGGGGGCGGCGGAGAGGGCGGCGGAGCGGGCGGCGGCGGAGGCGGAGGCGGCGCGGCACGCCGAGGAGCTGCTGTCGGAGGTCGAGGCGGAGAAGCGCGCCAAGGGCAAGAAGGGCAAGAAGAAGAAGAAGAAGGGCGGCGGGAGCGGCGGCGCTGGGCCGTCGCAGGAGCCCGAGGCGCCGGCGGAGGGTGCAGAGGCGCCATCAGAGGGTGCCGAGGTGCTGTCGGAGGCAGCCGCAGCCGAGGCCGCGAAGAAGGCCGAGGAGGAGAAGAAGGCCGAGGAGGCGAGATTGATCAGGCTTCTCGAAAGTTGTCACGAGGAGAGGATCCGGCTCGGCATCACGGCGGAGAGCCAGGCAGCGGCTTTAGCTGAGATGGTCGAGGCGGAGCGGTTGGCCGAGGAGGCGGAGGAAGAGGAGGCGGAGGCGGAGGCGGAGGAGGAGGAAGCCGCGGCCGAGGAGGAAGCCGCGGCCGCGGCACTTGCGGCAGCTGAGGCGGCCACGGCGGCAGCTGAGGCGGCGATGGCCGCCGCAAAGGCGAGGCGCGCGGCCGCTGCGAGGGCCAAGGCGGCCGCTGCAAGGAAGGCGGCGGACGCGGCCCAGCGCTCATAGAGAGCCGCTGAGAGCAGTACATGACGCGCGCATCTGGCACCGGCTGACGCCCGTCAGCCCCACGCCGCCCCGCCTTCGGGCGCTTCGGCGTCGCGCAGCGGAGGCGGCGGCGTCTCGACCCGACGCCGCGTGAGGCAGGCGGACTTGCGCTCGCGGGAGTGGCTCAGGGAGCACGGGGCGGCGGCGGCGGAGGAGGGCGGGTAGACTCCCTCCCACGTCAGTTCTCGGTGAAGTCTGTTGCGTTTCCCAGCTGGCCTCGGAGGCGCATGCAGGACGTTGGCGAGATGAGTGACTCTCCCAAAAGCCAAATTCCCAAAAGCGATTGCTGAAAATCCGCCGGCGCCTCCGCCCCCGACGCGACGGATTGGACGTCGGAGTGAGGAGCAGGGGGCCCGACTTTTTGGAGGAGGCGCAGCTTTCTCGGAGCAACAGTCGGGGGTAATTCTATTGTCACACTGTGCCGTCCGGGAAGGACTTCTCTCAGCAGGCCGAGCCCCGAGCGCCGTGGCGTCGCGCGCTGCTCACGGGACCACACGGCGGGCGCCGCATCGCCATTGGCGTTCGCGGCGGCGAACACCCCCCCAAAATTCGTTGTCACCTCGATACTAACAAAGACTATGGTACTATCTCAACGCGCATCCCACTCCCCCGTTCCTCGGACTTCCTGATCCTCCCACCGCTTTTTCAACGCTGATCGATCAACGTCAGCCGAGACGCCCGAGTGAGTGGCTCACTTTACGGCTTTTAGTGTGGTAGTACAAGATAGACTCACGACCATGGTCACAAGTCTTAAGTAAAACGCCAGCACTCGACACGACGAAGGTGTATTGGGCTCGAAGGCGCGGTGAACACAGCCGCCTCGAGCGTACCGCTAAAACACGAGCCGAGGTGGGAGGGGGCGGCGGCGGCGAAGAGGCGGGAGCCGGGAGAGCTGGGTCCAATGCCCTCTGCTGCTGGGGGGGTCGGGACTAGGTCGGGACCCCCCCCCCTAGCAGCAGGGATGACTTTAGATGTGCAGGGGGGGTACAGAATCAGCACGCTGTGGCCAGTGCCAGAGTGGAGGACGGCAGATTTATTTATATCCCGGGACCCTGAGGGAGGGTGTAGAGGATGTAGAGTGTAGAGCGCTGTAGCGGAGCTGTAGAGCTGTAGAGCGCTGTAGAGCTGTAGAGCTCTACATCCATCGCGTGACGAACTGCGTGCCTTGTAGAGCGATGTAGAGGCGCTCTACAACGTGAAATCTCTACAACAAACTCTACATCGTAACCGGCGAAGGAGGCACGGCCGCTCTCCGACATGAGGCGCGTTGCACTTGCCAGTGCTGCCCTGGCCTTCTGTCTGCCCGCCCAATGGGTGGCAGGTGCCTCTGCTGCTGTGGCATGCCTCACGGCTGCGACTGGCCGGCGCCTCGGCGCGTCAGCTCAGCTCGGCGTAGCGATAGTGGCCAGCGCAACTCGCCTGGACTCAACGCTCAGCCAGGAGCTCCCGCACGCGCGCGCTGGCGCGAGTCATGGCGCATGCAACGCGCAGCAATGCTCGCCTCGCCTCGCGCAAATGCGACCGTCCTCGCAGCCGACAGTCCACCGCCTGCTAAAGAAGCACAGCGACGAATGCGGCACCGGCGACGCATGGCAGGCTGGTCATGACGCAGTTATAGGGTGTTGTGTGCCGTCAGAGTGACGCTCTGTGTGTCAGGGATAGTCAGGGCCGTCCATCAGAGCTCCAGTAAGCTCGGAGACACCCCATTAGCGCGGCTCGACCTCTTTGAGTCACTGCCTTCCCGGCGGTTTGGCTGTAGAGCCTCTACAACAAACTCTACAGCAAAATCGCGCTCTCTACATCGCTCTCTACATCGGACTCACATCGTCACGCGCCGGATGTAGAGCTCTACAGCTCTAGAGCTCTACAGCTCTACAGCGCTCCAGAGCGCTCTACATCTCTACAGCTCTTTACAGCGCTCTACACTCTACATCCTCTACACCCTCCCTCACGCCTCAGCCGGGACCTCCATAAAAAGAAATCACGCTGCGCCAACAAGGTCCAAGGTGCCCCGGGCTAGCACTTTGTTTCTACCTGTCGGTTAGTGCCAGTGCGCGCCAGTCCCGTGCCCAGTGTCGTGCGAGGGAGTTTTGTTGTAAAATTCTACATCTAAGCTCAGCTATAGCCGGGGCACAACAGCCACACACGACACGGCAAAACGTACCTCAAAAAGAATTAGAATAAACCCTCCTCTTATACACGGCTTCAATCTTCAATCATAAAATAAGATGGAAAAAGATATTTAAACAATACTCGCCAGCGCAAGCCTGCAGCCTGCCAATCTCGCACGGACACGCTCGTGATTAAAAGCGACGCGTGTCGCGATCTGGAGGGAGGAGGCAACGGGCCATCTCGTCAGTGCTGGTCTACTTTCTGCCAAAAAGGCCGCCCTTCTTCTTCTTTGCGACCGGCGGCGATCCTCCCGCCGCGCTCTTCGCACCCGGGGCGAGCGCCCCTTTCATCGGCGTGCCCTTCGGCGCCTTGTCCGCCGCGGCGCTCGCCTTGCCCGCATCATAGAGCGGGCTCCCCACCAGCGGCGGGCCCTGGAACTCCTCCTGCTTGCTCCGCGGCGGCGCGCCGAGCGGCCGCCCTCGCTCCGGCGACGTCGCCTCGCCTCCGTCGGGAGCGGCGCCGTGCAGCTCCGCGAGCTCCTCCTCGAGCTGCGCGACGTCGATGTCGTCGTCGATCGCGGCGAGCATCAGGTTTTGCGACCGCTCGTCGAGCATGACTGAGAGCGGCAGACAGGGGCAGGGGCGGTGGCAAGCTGTGGCACCACCCCCGGCGTGATAAGGCACGCGAGGTGGGGGTGCTCTGAGGGAGAGGGAGGGGAGGCGGGAGAAGGAAGAGGAGGATTGTTTGCTACTACCGCGAGTCGCGCCTCGGCTCGCTCTGGGCACTGGCGCTGAGGCCGCCCGCGCCAGTCGTTGGCTCTTGGCGTCCGCCCCACCGCCCGCCCCGGTCGTGGCGACCGCCGCCTTTCGGTACTGCGGAGCAGCGGCCGCGTTGGAGGCAGCCGCCGCCGCCGAACTCCTAAGCGGCTTAGCGGACTCCGCCGGGGACGGGCTAACGTCGCGGCGCTCAGAGGCGCGAGGCGAGGCGCCCTTGGAGGAGCGAGCGGAGTCGTCGGGGGAGGCGCCTGTCGCACGCGAGAGGATCAAACGGCGGGCGGCGCTGAGGCTAGCTTAGGGTAGGGGTGGTAGGAGGGAGCGAGCGCAGAGGGGTGCTGTGACGGGGTGAGCGACGCGCGCCATTATCGCCACTGGACGTGCGGTGCCCCTGCGTGAGTGCCGCCGTCGCCATGTACGGTCGCGTCGGGTGCGGTCGGGACTTGTTGTCCTTGCCGTTGGCGATGACTTGCTGGCGGAGCCTGGCGCTCTCCGCCAGAGCTTCCGCCAGCGCCGCCTCCGCCGCTGCGAGCTCCGTGCGAATCAGGTGGATGGCGACCGAATCGGCGACGGCCCGCTCCTCGACTGCAAACGCGATCCGCTCCTCCACATTCGCGTACGCCGACTTGACGGTGGAGCTTGTTTCGCGGTAGACGGCCTTGAGGATCGATGGTGAGAAGGCCGGGATCGGCGAGTCTCGGCTGTGATTGCTGCACGGCTGCTCTTTGGCCGGAGGCGACGGCTCCTCCTCCTTGGCGGCGGCGGGATCGCCGGACGATGTGCGGCCCATGAGGCCGCCAAACATGTTGAGGAAGGGGTTGCTGCTGCCCTCGGAGGACATTTGGGCGGCGAGAGCTCCGCAGCGATCCTTGTTCGCAGAGCTCGCACCTGCGTTCTGTGTGTACAGCGTCTCACCCGCGGCTTCCCCCCCTCTCTGTAAAGCGCATTATTTTTCTTTTTCCTAGGATCCTTTTTCTTTCTGACTCTCACCCGGGACAGTCACAATGCTGCGGACCGCCCTCTCGCGCTCGTCGGTCGCCCGCTCGGCCGCCTCGCGCGGGCTGCCCCGCGCCGCGGCGCCGCGGCTCGCTCGCGGCCTCGCCTCCGACGCGGACGGCGAGGACGGCGTCCACGTCGACATGGTGGCACGCATGTGGTCGTGCAAGGCGCGGCCGCTGCGGCCGCCGCGTCCGCCGCTCCGAGCGCCGGCTGTCGCCTCTCACCGCCCGCCTGCCTCCCGCGCAGGTCAAGGACGACCCGGGCGCGTACCAGATGGACCTCGTCTTTGACAGCTTCATTGACAAGGCCTCGCAGGTGGAGGGCGTGGTCGGCGCGTCGCGGCTGCTGTGCAAGTCGTACTGGGACTACAAGCTGATCCTAAAGTTCGAGGAGACGGGCGCGCTCAAGAGGTACCTGGCCGAGAATGGCGAGCACGATGCGCTGATGAGGGAGTACCTGCCCCAGATCGAGAAGCTCACCATAGACGGAAAGGTGCACCAGCAGAGCTTTGTTTACGACGACATCGAGTGAGTGCCTCCCGCCTGGCGCCGCGGCGTACGTGGCGCGCAGGGCGTCCAGGAGCAGGTCGAGAATTCGCACTGCAGCGCGCCCGCAGGCGCGTCCATTCGGAGAGTAGCGCCGCCGCTGCGTCTAGGGCCGGGGCTGGCCATCGCTCCATTCTCTCCCTCGCGTGAGCGCACCATAATGGGTTTTTCTTGTGCAGATGGCTACATTGCCCCGAGAAAAAAGGCCGACCGCCGGTTGCCGCGAAACATCTCGCGCCGCGAGACAGAAGCGAGACTGCGGTCGCCACGCCCGCGCACTTGAGCCAGCTAATCATGAAGAGCAGCCTGAAGAGCAGCCTCGTATCACGGTCTGCGCTGCTTCGCTCGCTCGCGCTCGGCACGGTCTTCACGGCCACGCGTCGGCCTGCGATCGCCGCCTACACCATCGTCCCGACCGGCTCGGTCCGCGACAAAACCGCCCGGCTCGCCGAGGTCGAGAAGCTCTACGCCAAGACGCCCGACGACCCTTACGCGTTTGGCGAGAAGGCGCAGCTGGAGTACGACATCCGGCAGCTGGAGCAGAACACCAAGTTCGTCGCCTCTACCCGCGAGCAGGTGCGCGCCGGCTCGACCCGCTTCCTCCAGCGGCTGCGCGTCCCGGTCGACGACATGCGCGAGGCGGTGCAGTTCTGGAGGGAGGGGTGCGGCGCGCTGGTGCTGAGCACGCGCATCGTGGATGGGGCGAACGTGACGGTGGTCGGCTTCGGCCCCGAGTCGCTGCGGCGCGACGACGGCGCCAAGTTCGCGCTCGAGCTCGTCGAGTCCTCCGAGCCGGCGCCGATGGGAGGCGAGCACGCGCTGCAGTACGTGCAGCTGGCGATGCCCGTCTTCCGGCTGTCGCGCGTGATGGCGGCGGGCGGGAAGATCGAATCGGCGTACGGCTGGACGCAGCTCACCGCGCCGGGCGGGCTCCCCCTCCGCGTGCGGATCGACGAGTCGCGACGCGACCCGTTTGAGTTTGTCGCGGTGCGCGTCAGCGCGATGGGCGCGGCGGTCGAGCACTTCACGCGGCTGGGGATGGCGGCGGGCAAGCCGCAGGAGGGGAGGAGGCTGCGCAAGAACCTCGGCCTCGACTCGCTCCTCTCCTCCAACTCGCTCCTCGAGGAGAGCGCCGCCGCCGCGCGCCGCCGCCCTCCCGCCCCCCTCGCCGCCGCCACTTTTGGCCGCGACTTGCAGCCGTGCGCGCGCCGGCCGAGCCCCGCGCCCCGAGCCCTCGCCTTCAGGAGGGCGACGCGTTCGAGCCGGAGCGCGAGATCGGCTCCGTCTACGTTGGCTACGGCGACCCGCAGAGCAACACGGGCCTGCTGCTGCTGCCGCCCCTGCCGGGCAAGCGGCCAAAGCCGTCGCTCGGGGCGCAGGGCCAGCCCGAGCCGACGCTGCGCGCGGTCGGCGCGCCGCCCGCCTCCGCCTCCGCCACGGAGCGGAGCCCGGACGGGCTGCCGGTCCGCTTCGAGGACGAGGACGCGTACGAGGGGTCGCTGAAGGCGGAGCGGGCCGCCGCCTAGAGACGGAGGAGTCGCCACTCGCCAGCGAGCGGGTGGGAGTGGAGGAGGTTTGTTTGGGGTGGTGGGAGTGGGTTAGCGCGGAATGGCCCAGGTAGCGAGGTAGGCAGGGACCAGGGAGGCCGCTCCCAACCTTTCACACGGCTTCAAACGTCGCCCTTCAACAAACGGCTTTACAAGATGAAAAATGCACCCTCCACCCCCAGTGCCCAGTGCCCAGAGGCCAGAGCCTATTGCGTATTGGTATTGCCTATAGTCTATCTGACAACTACATTGAGCTGATGTGTGATGAGAGGTGCCGTGACCCGTTTGCCGCCCTGCGGGAGGACGCGAGAATCGAGAATAACGGAGAAAAGACAAGTCGAGCGTAGGCGTGTTCAGGAAAGAAATGCAGCGCTCGATCTCTTTGAATGGCTCGACCTCTTCGACCTTCCCGACTCTCTCCAGCCAACCACGATGGCGGCCTCCCTCCTCTCATCCGAGCTCCTTTCATCGTGCGACTGGTTTGATGACGAGCAGCAGTCCGACGAGGTCGTCGTGTTCAACGCGGCGGCGCCCGCAAACAAGACGACAGCGGCCGAGAACGCGGCAAAGGCCGCCCGGCGCGGGGTGAGCAAGAGCAAGAAGCGCGGCGCGCTCAGGGAGGGTGAGGCGGCGCCGCAGTGGCGCAAGCCGCTCAAGCAGCCCAAGGAGGTGCGCGGCGCGGGCCTCTACCGGTCAAGCCAGCCGGAGGAGGAGGAGGAGGAGGCTGACTCGCCGTGGAAGGGGCTCCCGGTGAGCAACGCCTTTGCCGTCCTCGCCTCGCCCGAAGGCCGGCGCTCGCGGCGAGCGTCGCTGGCGTCGTCAAAGGCGCCGACTCCGGCAAAGGCGCCCACGCCGGCGGCTGCACCCTCTCCCGCAAAGGAGGCGTCCCCAAAGCCGGCGGCGAAAGCTGCAAAGCCGGCGTCGCTGGTCAAGGCCAAGTCGCCGCTGAAGCCAAAAGCGGCCTCCGAGGCGAACGAGGGGACGCCCCTCAAGCGCCGGACCCGGGCGGCCGTCAAGATGGTGCAGGACGTCGTGAGTGCGGTCGTGCAGGCGCTCTCGCCCTCGATCGCCGCCTGCAGCCCTGTCAAGGCACTCGCAGCGCGGCCCCGCGCGACCCGCGTGTCGAAGCTGGCGACCTCCGCGGTGGCGGCGAAGCCCGCGGCCCCGATTACGCGGCGCTCCTCGCGACTCTCCACCAAGGCGTGAGTAAGGGGGCTGCAGCAGGGCCGCGCAGAAAGGGCCGCGCAGAACCAGCCTGTATCTAGACTGGAGGTCGAGGCGTTTGTCGCGTGAGAGCGAGTGCGGGTACAGTGCCCCCCACGCTCGTGGCATGTTGCGCATGGACTGCGGCTTGTTCAGTGTCTGGTGGACGTCTCGTGATGCCGGGTGGACTGCATTGCGCGAGACGTGCGCCCTTGAGGGGGCGGCGCCGGCGCCGGGGCGCGGGGCGGGGGGGCTGCGACGCGGGAGCCGGGACGCGCCCCGCGACGCTAGCAGAGTGTAAACTAATGATGACATGTTCCCATGTGGCTTGGTAAAACTCTATCCTAAGAGCTAAAGTTATCTCCGGAATCGATCTATTGTGACGAGATCTGAAACGCTCGCCGCTCGCGGCTCGCCGGGCACGCGCACGCGGCACGGCCCGACCCACCTCCCACGCGCCACGCCCCACGGCGGCGCGGACGACGGCGAAACCGAAAGCCGACACGCCTGACGCGCCCCACGTTTTCTCCCGCCGCGCCGCCGCCGACGCCCTAGAGAGAGGCCAGAGGACGGGAGACACGCTCGGCAGTGCAAGTGGACCAGTCACGACCCTAGTGGGAGCCCCCTGGTGCGTGTGGTGTTGTGAGGAATGAGGTCATGTCTCAGGAGGAGAAGACGATAGAGGCAGAGGACGAGGGAGGTTGGCCATGAGGTCAACGGCCTCACATCACGCCCGCCTCCCGCGCCCACGCCTGGAGGTCCAGCAGCCGGGGGACAAGCCCCAGTTGCGTGGGCACGATCCCTATCACGCGCTCGAGCAAGTCGAGCCGCAGCAGCGGCGGCTTCCCCTCCCCGTCGAGGCCAAGGATTGCTTCAAGTTGTGACATCTGACCGAGCACGCCGCCGGCGCGGCGCGAGGCATCGCCGACCGCGGCGGGAGCGGCCGCCGCGCCACCGACGCTACTGCAGGCGCCGCCGGCATGGCTCGAGCAGGGCGGCCCCCTCTCTCCCGCGGAAGCACTCACGCCCAGCGTGGCGTCCGCGAGAGGCGGCCCTCTCGCTGCCGGGTCGGCGGCAGCGGGCAGCGCCATCGCCATCTCGCCCCAGCCGCAAGCCTCGCCGTGCCGACGCGTCGCCGTCGCCGTCGGCCCGTCCAGCGAGGTCGGTGCGAGAGTGGGCCGCCCGCTTACAGAGGGATCGGGCCTCGGCGGCGCATGCGGGGCCGCGCTCTTTTCAACACCCGCCGCACCCGCCGCCGCCTCTGCTCCGCCGCCGCCGCCCGCTGTGCGCGCCTCGCCCGCGCGCGCCCAGCTGTCGTAGGGCGCTAGCATCACCTCGGATCGCGCTCGCCGCACCTGCGCCTCCGTCCCCATCAGGCTGACGAGCCGCGACTCGTCGCCCCAGCCGGGGGGGGGGCCCTCCTTGTCTAGGATGAAGATGTGCGCCCCGGTGCGCCTGCACAAGTCCCGGTACGCCGAGCCGCCCGCCCCGATGAGTCTGCCGATGTGCTCGTGCGGGTAGCGCAAGTCGACTCGCTTGCCGCCGAGCGCAGCGACCTCGGCCATCCTGCGCCCCATTGCCTGCGCGGAGACCGACCAGTCCGGGAAGCCGGCGAGGAGCTGCCCCTCCGGCAGTGCCCTCTGTTGCCGCTGCTGCGGCGGTGGCGACGACGCCGCGCCGCGCTGCGCCTGCGCCTTAACTGCAGGCCGCCCCGCCACCGTCCAGCCGCCTCCGCCCTCGCGCTCCGCCCTCGCAGCCGCCTCAACCTCGGCGACGGCCGCCTCGCGCCGTCGCCTCAACGCCTCGCCCGCAGGCGCGGCGCGGCCCTGAGACCGCATCTGCCGCACCTGCTCCCGCACCTTTGCGTCTGCAGCCGCCGCGCGCCTCGCCTCCTCCTCGGCCGCCGCCTCCTCGGCCGCCTGCAGCCTCCGCAGCGCCTCTTGCTCCGCCTCGGCTCGCGCCTCCTCCTCACGCGCCTTGGCCTCCGCCCGCCGCCGTGCCGACGCAACCTCCTCGTCCTCACTGTCGTCACTGTCGTCGTCGCTCTCCCGAGAGGCATCGCTCTCATCGCTCTCGCCGCTGGCGCTGGAGTCCTCGCCCGACTCCGCGCTGGAGTCGGCGGCGAGCGCAGCAAACCCGCCCCCGCGCCGCGCTGGCTGTGCAGCCGGCGCAGCCGCCTTTGAGGGAGCCGCCGGGGCCGCGCCCTTCCTCCGCCCTCCCTTGCCTCGCTGCTGGCTCGCCTTGGCGGCGCGGCCGCCCTTCCTCTCCGCCGCCTCCCGCTGGACCGCCTCCTCCTGCCGGATCAGCTCCTCGGCGAGTGCGTCCGCCCTGGCCGCCGCCGCGTCCGACTCGGAGGTGAGGAAAGCTCGCACCGCCGTCCGCAGCTCCTCCCTTCCGTCGAGCAGGCCCTGCAGCAGCCCCAGCGCGCGGAGCTGCTCGAGCGCGGCGCGAGCCGCCGCCTGATCGCCCAGCTCCAGACTGCTCTCGAGGTGCCCGAGCAGCGGCTTTGCGCGCGCGCTGCCGGGCAGCAGGCTCTGCGGCATCGCCAGCACCGCGGCAAAGTCGTCGCGCGCCTCTTGAAAGGTTTCGCGCGCTTTGCGCAGCAGCTGGCCCGCCGCCTCAGACACGCTCATCTCCGAGTCCTGCGCCATCATGCTGCCCATCACCTTGGCCGTGACCGACTGCAGCAGGAAGGCCTGCCCTCGCAGCAGCCGGATCTGCGCGCCGCAGCCCGGCTGGCTCGGCGGGCACTCTCCGATGGCTTCGTCGTAGAGCTGGACCGCCTCGGGCAGCTCCTCGAGCATCGACTCGAACACCTCCACCTCGTCGCGATCGCGGTTGACGATCCTCGCGGCGCGAGACGCCTTCTCGGCACACGCCGCCACGGCCTTGATGTCCGCGCTGGGGTCGGAGGTTGCTGCGCGGCCCGGGCGGAACTCGGCGAGCAAGCTGAGCCGCCGGCTTCGATCTCTTCCGCCGGGGATCTGCGCAATGTCGTCGACGGAGAGCCTCCACTGCCCGAGAGAAGCGTACGCCATTGCGCGCACGCTGCGGATCCAGCTCGAGCCTGCCTTGCGCAGACCGCCCAAGCTCTCTCCCAGTGGCGTCGCCAGCGCGGTGGTGGCGTCGCGCACGGCGCGCTCCCAGTGGCCGCACTCCAGGTTGGCCTGCGCGCGCATGGCGTACACGAAGGGCGGCGCCTGCGTGTCCGGATCTAGCTCCTGCGCCAGATCGCAGAGCTCGAGCGCGCGCCGAAAGTCGCCCGCAGCCACCGCGCCGGCGAGCTGCTCGTACGCCCCTTCTGCCGTCTCCACCTCGGGAGGGTCGCTGCTCAGCTCATTCAGGTAGCAGTCGACCGACTCGTTGTTTGGCGGCAGCATCACCGCGACCGAGTCTTCCGGGTCCTCTTCGGCGGCCGGCCCCACCACCCTCCCTCGCGCGCCGGGCATCAGCCGGTCGCCGTTGTCGAACGTCTCGGGCGGGCCGACGTAGTACACCTCGTCTCCCACCACGTAGTCGCCAGGAAGAACGGGCGGCGGGTCTCCGCTCAGGCTGTCGATGTGGCACTCGACGATGCCTCCCACCGTTGCCTTTGGGCTCTGGACAAAGTGGAGCTTGATCATGAACGGCGATTCGGACAGACCCGCTACCTCGCCCCACGCGCCGTGGTCGAGGCGGCCCCCGCTCTTGAAGGTGCGGCTCGGCCCGGTGTAGAAGAGCCGGTCCCCAGCGCAGTGGCCGCCGGGGAGCGGCGGCGGCTTGGAGGAGGAGAGGAGGCTCAGGCGGCAGTCGATCGGCTTCTGGCTCCACGGGAAGAGCACCGCAACACTGTGGTCGGGCACGCCGAGGAGTGCTGCTTGCTTGGACGCCTTAGATGTGGACGCGGGCCCTGCGATCTCGCCACGAGCGCCGTGCTCGACGCGGCCGCCGCGAAACGCTTTGGAGACGCCCTGGTAGTACACAACGTCTCCGAGCCGGTAGCCGCCCGGCAGCGCGCCGCCGGCCGAGGACGAGGAGGAGGACTGGCTGCCAAAGACGAAAACTGGCTGTTTGCCCATGTCTCGCAGATTGCGGTGTGCGTGGCCGGTGCACGGCGCGTGGTGCGTCGAGCAAGGCGCTCGGTCCACAGCGGGCAAAGATCGCGGTGTGGCGTGGCCGGTGCACGGCGCGTGCACCACGGCGTCGAGCAAGGCTCTCGGTCCACAGCGGGCAATTCTTACGCGTAAATAAACAAATACTTACAAATACCAAATTCCAAATCGCAAACATAGAAACCTAAACACAGGCGGCGACGTGGCATACGAGCTCGTCGGAGAAGGAGGCGGGCACAAGTTCCAAGGACGCACGCGAGACGCAGCACCACAGACAGAGCGATGACGATGATGAATCAGCGCGTGAACGCCAACTCGCCGGCACAGGCCGTGAAGAGCCGCGCACGCGGGCCGACGATTACGCAGCTGCGTGCCAAGCAGGCCGCTCTTGTGGCCGCATCCGAGCTCGCGGCTTCGAGTAATGCCGAGGCGAGTGTGGTAAGGCACTCGCCCGTTGACGAAGCCAAGCGGTGGGCAAGCGGCAAAGGCCGCAAAGTGGGCTTCGCAAAAGCACGTGCCACCTTCCGTGGCGGCGGCACGGGAAGCGGCGACGGCGGCGAAGCACGACTCGCTCATCAAGAAGGCTCGCTGGCGCGGTACCGAGCAAATTGCCCGGGAGACTCCGGCGGGCTCTGTGTCCGTAGTGACGATGCCGCACCGCAAGGACTTCGCCTCCGACAAGGAGCACCAAGTGAAGTTTAACCTGTGGCTGAAGACGGACGGCTTCAAAGGCAAGGTGCGCAACGGGGCGGTGAGGGAGCCAGAGCACCTCTCTCGGTCGGGCTTACGCGTGTGTGGATCCCTGTAGGAGCGGCAGCAGCGGGTGGCCGCGCAGTACGAGAAGCGCGTGCTGACCATGGACGCGTGGGGCCAAAAGCAGGGCTACCCGCCGTTCTGCGAGGTGGTGACCCAGGAGGACGGCTTGGCCAACCTGCAGCTCATTGTTGACAAGGTGCGCGGCAAGGAGGTGCCGCGAGTGCCGGCGGTGTCCGCTTTCATCGAGTTCTGCGTGGGCATGATGACCGGCGAGGTGGAGAAGGGCGGCTGCCGAGAGCTCCGAGCTGATCCTCAGCTGTATGCCACGGCGGCATACGGGCTCTCGCAGGCGGAGATGTTCATGCCGCTCGAGAAGAAGGGCACGTTCGGGTGGGGGCCGTACAAGGACGCGCCGTACAAGCTGCAGAGCATCCAGCAGTACGCGACGGCGCTGCGCATTTGGCTGAAGGAGGAGCTGCGCCGGTGGCCAGACGCAGGTGTGGCCAACCCGATGTACGACGGGTGGGTTGCCTCTGTGATGAACTACGTGCAGAAAGAGCTGCCTTTTGCGCGCATGGAGGAGCGGCTGCCGCCTGCGCTGACAACTGGCGTCTTCAACGAGGTGATCAACCACATCGACCCAACGTCACAGGACGAGATGTCGACGGCACTGTACCTCCAGGCGGGCTCGATCCATGGCGATCGGGCGCACGACTGGTACCTCAGCGATCGGGAAAACCTGCGCAGGCTGGCTCCGACCGTCGAGGACCCGGACCAGAAGCACGGCGTCATGATCTCGCACGAGTCGACGAAAAACAACAAGCTGCGCGAGGAGCGGCACAAGGGGCTCGCGTGTCCGTCATGGTGCGAGCAGGAGGTGGCGTTCACGGCGGCTGGAATAAATAAAAACGGACACCTCTACTGTGAGATGGGTAAAAAGGAACAGGTCCCCGCCCTTGAATAAATAAAACGGGCACACCAAACAAGGGGTGGGAGAAGGACAGGGTCCCCACCTGCGCGAGCAGGATCTTGTAAGGACGATCAGGGACACAGGGGAACGGGAGCGGGGCATCGGACATCCCAAGCTAGGGCTGGGTCGAGGACAGACACGTCCCCACCTTTGCAGGATTTTGCAAAAGCGAGGGGGGAGGGCGCATCGCCGCGCGGAGAGGGCTGGGCACAGGGCACAGGGATCTCTCTCGCAATAAATAAAACGGACACCTCTACTAGGAGATGGGTAAAAAGGAACAGGTCCCCGCCCTGCGGTCTTTGTGCAGGGTTCTCTTTGTGAGGAAGGCGTGGGAGAGGCGGACGCGAACAACCGCCGGCGGGCGGCGAAGCAAGGGGCGCGCCAAGGAGGAGCGCGAGGAGCGCGCGGAGCTAATAAATAAATAAAACGGACATCCCAAGCTAGGGCTGGGTCGAGGACAGACACGTCCCCACCTTTGCAGGATTTTGCAAAAGCGAGGGGGGAGGGCGCATCGCCGCGCGGAGAGGGCTGGGCACAGGGCACAGGGAAATAAATAAAACGGACACCTCTACTAGGAGATGGGTAAAAAGGAACAGGCAGGTCCCCGCCCTGCGGTCTTTGTGCAGGGTTCTTTGTGGGTGTGGTCGGCGACTAGCCGGGGTCGTCCTCCCGATGGGGGACTAGCACTAGCCGTCTTCCACATGGTCCCTCGGGTCCCTGCTGCTCCTAATCTCGTCGTACATCCTCCTGCTGATCTCAGCAACATCCTGCTCCCTCCCTCGTCTCGCCCTGCGCGTCTGCTCCGCCTCCCCGTCGTCTGCCCTGCGTCGTCTGGTGACGGGTCCTCCGTAGTCGGTCGAGGTCGCCGCCCTCCTCGTGCCTCTTCCCAACGTTTCCTCGGCGGCCGATGCCGTCTGCTCCGACTCCGCCGTCCCCGGGTCTGCCCTGCCCTCGTCTGCGCTAGCTTCTGTTTCGTCATCACTGATGTCCGTCCTCTTCTTTCTCCTCTTCTTGTATGCTTTATGTACATCGTTCGCGTCGATTCCTTTTCGCGTGAGCACCAGCCTGAAGCCCGCCCAGCAGCTGAACCGCTCCCTAAGTCGAAGGAGCATCATCAGTCTCACCCACTTCGCTCGTAAGAAGTTAAGAATTTTTTTGGTTATCCAAGTACGTGACGCTCGTCTTGACCAATTAGCACTTTACATTCTCACATCAACAACAACCTCTCTGATGCTCTCTCGCCACTGCACTCTTCTCTCCCCCCTCGGCTCAGCGGTCCACCGGAGACGAGCTCGAGTCGAAGAAGGGAACGTTAACATCGGATGGACCGCCGAGCGCCGTGCCGTCCACCGCGCTGCCTTCGCGCGCCATCACGACCCCCTCCTCACGCCGCCTGCCTCGCCGCGCCTCGCGCCTGCTCCAGCTCGCGGTCGCTGCGCATCAGGTCCGACTCGGTGTACAGCGTCCACGTGAAGAAGGAGGCGAAGCCGACGATGTGCCCGCCGAGCCAGAGAGGCGCGAAGGTCTCGACCCACTGCAGCAGCCGGCCGGAGGGGTACAGGGCGAGCGCGAGTGCAAAGTAGAGGCGGAACTTCTCCTCGACCGTGTCGGTCGCCTTGTTCCACTTGTTGTACGCCGTCACCACGCCGCCCACGAGCAGGATGGGCACGAAGCAGGTCACCAGCGAGGTGCGCGCCACGTTTTGGACGAGGGCGGCGCGGTCGAGCCGCTGGCGGACCGACTCGAAGAGCCCCCACGCCGCGCCGCCCCCCGCGGTGTGCAGGTAGAGCAGCACGCCCGACTCGATGAGGGAGGAGCGGGCCGCGTGCAGGGGCTGGGCCCGCGCCTCCGCCTCTGCGGCCGCGTACTCGGCCACGAGGGCCCGCTCCGCCGCGGGCAGCCGGGCGAGCTCGGCGGGCGGCCTAGCTCGCGCGAGAGACACTTCCTAGACACTTCCTAGACACTTCCTAGACCATGTCGGCGGGCGGCCTAGCTCGCGCGCCGCAGCAGTGAGCAGAGAGGGGTGGGCCCTCCCTCGGGCGGGGGCGGGAGGGCGCGCCTCGCTGCGATCGCCGCCGCGAGCCTCCCCAGCGCAACCTCCACCTGCACGCAGACGAGAGGGGCGCGTGGCGGCGTGTGCTTGCGGAGCCTGGCGGCGGTGCGGCGGCACACGCCTTCTTCCGCCGGACCGCCTGCGAGGAGGCCTGCGCGGCGTGGAGCGCCCCGACGGCGCCCTCTGCTGCGAGGAGAGGGACCGCCTGCGGGGCAGAGGTCGGGGGCTGGGAGCGAGATGGCTCTCCTCTGCTGGTGGCCCTCCTCGGCTGCGAGGGCAGGGCCGTCTCGCCTCGGGGAGGGCCGCCATCGAGCAGAGGGCGGCGGCGAAGGTCTTGCGCAGGTAGAGCGCCGCGTCCGGGTCGGCGACAGCGCGAACCAGCCTGCGGCGAGGAGCGGACGAGGGCGCTGGAGGTGAGCAGCGGCGGCGGCGGCAGGTGCGGGTGCGGGTGCGGGTTAGCGGACGTGCCTCGCGTGCTCTCCGCGCTCGAGCAAGAGGAGGGCGGCGGGCGGCGAGGCGCAGATGTACTCGACCACCTTGGCCGCGTGGTTGCGCGCCGTCTGCGACGCGTTCGGCTCCGCGCCGAGGGCGATGTCGATGAGCCTGCCGGAGAGGCCTGCCGACTGGGCGAGGGCGAGCTTGAGCGAGTCGTTGAGCGGCGCGCCGCGCGCCTGTGGCGAGCGGAGCGGGTGTGGGCGGGATGGGCCGGCGGCACGACCGCGCGAGGGGCGTGCTGCGCGTCACTCTGTGCCGGGCGGAGAGCAAGAGAGGGAGGGAGCGCACCACCCTCTCGAGGCGCTCCGTCAGCCGCTCCTGCGGCGTGTCGGGCGAGAGCAGCGGCGCCTCAAACTCCTCCAGGTGGAACAGGATCTGCACGCCCTCGTCGCCCTGCGAGAAGAAGGCAGCCACGTTGAGGCTCACGGCAGTCCACATCGCTATCGGGATGCCGTGCCGCTGCATCACGCCGGCGGACGGCTCGCCGCCCGCCGCCGCCTCCGCCGCCTGCATGCCGTGACGAGCTGCGGCGCCGGAGGACAACCGGCGAGCGCATGTCCGCGTCGCGAGGCGGCGGCAGGCTGTCGGGAGGCGCAGGCGGCGCGAACGACAGAGCATTTTCCGACAGCAAAGAGAAACCATGGAAAATCACTCTGAATTACATGACCACACGTGTGGTGGCGGCGTGTCCTCCCATCCCTCCCTGGCGTCTGTTTTCTTTATTTTCACATGACAAGCGATCCAGGAAAGAGAAAACGCGGCCCTTTCTGCGAAGAGGGCCGCAGAAACAGAAACAACTTTTGGATTTTGTAAAAGAAAAAGCCTGGTCTCGCGCAAATCACACCTCGCTCAAGCTCGCCCTCGCCCAGTCGGCAGGCCTCTCCGGCAGGCTCATCGACATCGCCCTCGGCGCGGAGCCGAACGCGTCGCAGACGGCGCGCAACCACGCGGCCAAGGTGGTCGAGTACACCAGCGCCTCGCCGCCCCCAAGCCAGCAAGTGCACATGTGCGTCTCGCTCCACCTCTCGCTCCTCTCCATCGTGCGGCCGCTGGTCCGCACGCCGGCCACGTCGCTCCTCCGCGATCGCGAGAGGAGTCCGCAAACGTCCCTGCAGCTGGCGGAGGCGCTGGTGCCGTTGCGCCGGCCGGCGCCGGCGCACTGGCGCGACCGCGACATCTCTTGGTCCAATCCACAGGGATCCGTCCTCACGCAGGTCCACGACGACGTATGGCTCGCCGAGCGGCCCTTCTTCCCGCGCCTGCCCGGGCTCCAGGGCACCGACGTCGGCGGCAAGATGGCGGTGGTGCGGCTTCCCGACGGCACGCTGTGGGTGCACTCGCCCGTGGAGCTCGACCCGGCGCTGCGCGATGCGCTGGCCGCCCTCGGGCCAGTACGCCACGTGGTGACGCCCAACACGGAGCATCAGAAATACGCGTCCGACTGGCTGCGCGAGTACCCGGAGGCGACCGGCTACTCGTGCCCGGGGCTGCGCGAGTCCAAGCCGGAGGTCGGCTGGCATCGGTCGCTCTCGTCGCTCCTCGACGCCCCGAGTGGCCTCACCTCGGCGAGCGCCCCTGCTGAGTGGTGCAGCGCCATCGAGCTTTGCTGGGTCGAGGACAGAGTGCCACTCACGCGCCGCCTGCCCTTCTTCAACGAAGTTGTCTTCTTCCACCGGCCCTCCCGCTCGCTCATGTGTGCGGACCTGTGGTGGAACTACCCCGACTACGCCGACGCCGACGCCGACTTCCAGGTGCCGCGCTCCACCCGCCTCTGGAAGTGGGGGATGGACGTGGTCTACAAGCCAGTGTACAATAGGCTGATGAAAACAGACTCGTGGGAAGAGAGCTATCGCGTCATCGCGGGGTGGGAGTTTGAGACCATCCTGCCGTGCCACGGGGAGCCGGTGGCGGAAGATGCCAAGAAGGTGTTGGCATCACACTTGGCCATGGCAGGGTAGATCTCTGGAGGCGTGGACAACATGGACTCGACCTTCCGCGGTGCTCGTTCTTTTTTCCCTTCGTCTTTCATCCCGCTCGCTGCGTCCGCCCCCGCGGACACGGGAGACGCGTGGGTTTGAGTAGAAGTGTTTTGTGACGTGTGGTGGACATGGAACATATTAGTAGCAGGACGTACACGGCCACGCGCGCGAGAGAATGCGAGAGCTCATTTATCATTTCCTTGCCGCGCGCTCTACCAAAACGACCAGTAACCAGACATGAGACATGACACACAAGTATATACGGTCTAGGCCGGTGCGGTGAGACACAAAACGCAAGTAGTCGCACGGGCCACGGCCGTATACTGTACTCCGCTGTTCTCCGCCACGCAGAATTCGCGCGCGGAGAGTGGGTGTGCGCGCGTTGGTGCCGATTCGCGGTCATGCCGGCGGCCCCTTGCGCTTGCGCTCGGCAGCGGCGGCCCACTGGAAGAAGCGGCAGTTGCTCTCCTTGTCGCCGCGGTGCCCCTCGGCGCGCGCGCAGCTGTAGAACGTCTTTCCCTGCGTCGGCCCCGCCTTCTTGACGACCTGCACGCGGCACTTCTCGCCGTGGTGGCAGCGCGGCACCTTGTCGGACATCCGCTGCATCACCTGCTGCCACGCCTCCCGCTGCGCCGCGCCGCCTCCGCCCGCGCCGCCTCCGCCCGCGCCGCCTCCGCCCGCGCCGCCGCGAGGAGGTGCCACCTCCCGCAGCTGCTCCCAGGCGCGCGAGTCCTCCGCCACGGCTCGAGCGCTCAGCGCCGTCTCCGCCGCGCCAGCGCGCGCCTCCGCCGCCCGCCCGCTCGCCCTCTGACGCCCGCGCTCATCGCCGCCACGCTCGCTGCCGCCGAAGAAGCGGCGCAAATCTTGACGCGGCGGGGCCGCGGGCGACGGTGCGGCGGCGGGCTGCGCCGGCGGCGCGGCGGGCTGCGCCGGCGCGGTGGCGGGCGGCGGCGGCTGCGAGACGAGGAAGCCGCTGAGCACACTCTGCCCTCCGAGCCGAGACCGGCTGCTCAGCGGCAGCTGCGGCGGCGGCGAGCGCTGCTCGAGTCCGGAGAGGAGGAGGCGGAGGGGGAGGTGGTCGGATCCCTCGAGCTCGACGATCTCGCACGCGTGCAGGGACAGGGGCGGCGCGGCGGCCGAGCAGTCCGAGAAGAGAGAGAGGTCGAAGGAGGGGCCGCCCCGCCGCGAAGGAGGGGCGGTGGCGCCGACCGACGCGTGTGCAGAGCTGCCGTCAGCCAGCCCCGAGCCAGCCTGCCCCGAGCCAGCCTGCCCCGAGCCAGCCTGTCCCGAGGAGGGGAGGAGCGGAGGCGGCGCGAGGAGGGCGAGGTCGATGCGCGAGCCGTAGTTGTGCCGGTCGGCGCCGGAAGCGACGTGGAAGCAGCTGTACGCCCCGCCGCGGGCCGGGTGGAGGGCTCGGAACGCGTCTGCGAAGAAGGGCCGCGGCGGCCCCAGCAGCGCCTGCAGCCACAGCCGCGAGGCGGACGGCGGCGGAGGCGCTTGCAGCAGCTCCGCCTCGCGAGCAGAGTCGAGGCGCGAGGGCGAGATGTTCATGTCGCCGATGAGGAGGACGCGCAGCCCCGCCGCCGCGAGGTCGCGGCAGCGCAGCTCGAGTGCGCGCAGGAAGCTCGCCTTGAAGGCGCGCCTCCGCTCCGACTCTTCCGGGTCGGACGCCGTGTTGGCAGGCGCGTACACGTTGAGCAGGGCGAGGTCGGCATGGACGGTGATGACGCACCGGCCCTCCGAGTCGATCTGCCGCAGCTCCTCCTCGCTCGACTCGGCGACGAGGCTCGCGCGGTGCCCGATGGACGAGTCGAGCACGCCCGTCACGCCCTCCGCGGCGAGCCGCGGCCGACAGCCAGTGCGGCAAAACGTGGCAACGCCGGCGTAGCGACCGCCCGACGTGCGCGGCTCGCGTGCGCGGCAGAGAGAAAAGTAGGAGTCCCACCCGTCCACGAGCGCCAGATGCCGCTCCATCTCGCGCAGCTTCACCTCCTGAAAGCAGACAATGTCGGCGTCGAGAGCCGCGAGCAGAGTGGCGAGCGAGCCAAAGCTCTGACGCCGCGAGATGCCGTGCACGTCCGGCGCATCGAACGAGGCCGCGGTGCTCGACGCGAGCGTCGCGAGGCCGCGCAGCCCAATGTTCCAGGAGACGACTCGCAGCGGATGGCTGGGTTCCGAGCCCCGATGGCAGCAGGGCTGAGCAGCGGCCATTTCTCGTCGTGAGAAATAAGACTTCCCGCAGATCTGAGACCGTTACGGAAAAGCATGCGCGACGCTGCCTCTTTGCACCGCTCGCTCGCGGCTGCGGGAGACATGGCCGCCGATGCGGCTCGCACTCGCTCGGCGGGCCTCCGTCCCACAGCCGCCCGGGCGTGCCACGGGTCTGCCTGGCGCTGCGCTGCTCGCACGCTGCACTGCACAAAGCTGCGACAACAAGGGGAGGCTCCTGAGCTTGAGCGTTGAGCAGTGCAGCTGCGGGCGCTCGTGGGCGGCTGTGCAGTGGTGAGAGTGCCTGATTGGAGGCGAGCTGGTGCTGCGCCAGGGTGCGCAGCATGCGCTCTTGCTCTGTGCTGAGGCATGCTGGCTGGCGCCCAACACAATGCCCTGGATGCATTGCTCCACGCCGTGCTGGCTGGTGCAGTACTGCCAGTGCGCCGACTGGCGCGCAGGGTGCGCGTCGCCGCGCGTGGCACGGGTGGCTCGAGAGGCGCGGCTGTCGTTCAACCCCGCGGCGCATGTGCGCCGCGGAAGCTGCTCGACAGGCTGCGGGCATCGCTGCGGCAGAAAGCGCCCGCCCTCTGCTTTGCTTTCGCCCGCGTTTTACGACAACTTTCGGTTTATCATAGCCGCCGAACTTTACCTCGCTGTTTCTTTATAGGCGTCTCGCAGCTGCGTATTCTCGTATTATCTTCGAGTAGTTGCGTGGGGGCGGTACGTATTCCCGTATCACGTATCACTAGCTCCGAGTAGAGGGGGCGTCCTTGCAGTTAAGGGGAAACCTGGTACGCGGGGCTAACCCTCGGAGAGTTTTCTTTAGCTCCGAGTAGAGGGGGCGTTCCGCCGCTAGGGGACACCCAAAGCGCAGAACTAACCCTCGGAGACCCATGTTTACTTTAAGGCCCTTGCCCTGCGAATGCGCCCCCCCCCCCCTAGCTAGGGGTCAGGGCTCTCTAGCCCGTAGCCCGATGCCGATCATCCGGCCCGCTGGATGCGCTTCTCAGCTCACCGGCCCTGGATGTGAGGTTGCCGACTGCACTCCAAGTGCTCCAAGTGCCCACGCGGCTGAAAGAACGGCAGCTTTCGACCCGGCCCAAAACGAACGTCGTGTAGCCCTCCTTTTGGTATAACAAAAAACGAACGCTTGGGAGGAGGTGGCGCCGGATGGCGACAGCGGTCAGCCGTGCACTCTCAAGGCAGCCATGCACTGTCCCCCGCTTCCGCGCAGATCTGACACACGGTCTAAGGGTAACATACTTCCTTGCTGTAGCTGTAATGTGGCGGCTGCATTGTTTCTGCCTCTTTTCTTTCTGAATATACAAACATGTCAGCTGACCCAAACAATGGCACAAAGAATGCACAAAGGCGTCAAAAATCGTGTGGGAACAGAGGGTAAGCAGTACAAGGCAAGCCAACTGAAGTGTACACTGTATGAGAGTGAACATGCCGAAATCACTGCCCGCTACGGGGCCAACACGGCTCCGCCCTGCTGGGCCGTCTCGACGATGTCGCGGCCCCTCGCCCGCACTCGCCCCTCGTTGGACAACAGCGAGAGCCACGTCTTGTGCAGCAGCGACATGGCGGTGATGACGAGGATGCGGCTGTGGGGAGGGACAAAGGCAAAGTTGAGGCTGCAGGCCGGCAGCCAAAAGGCGACCGTGCCCGATGCGGCCGTGACCCACTCCTCTGAGAGCTGACGTCCTGCCTCTGCCAGCGTCTGCCCCTTGAGCAGCCCGGTCGTCAGGTAGAAGCTCGGCACCACGATGAAGGCGCCATTCCCAAACACGTCGACGGCCGCCTTGATCAGCGGCGCGTTCCCAAACCAGCGATCGTAGAGCATGTAAAAGTGCCGGCACGGCCCGCCGTAGAAGGCCGTGCCCCATATCACGAGCGCGCGCCAGCGCTGCCAGTCAAAGGAAAAGGGCCGCCCGTCCGGCGGGCTGGAGTGATGGGAGATGAGCTGCGCCGTCGCGTCCGAGGCGCCGAGCACGGAGCACGCTGTCGCCGACGCCACCTTGTGCGGGTGCGCGTCGGACAGGCGGGCATAGGTGGATCCAAGCGAGCGCGGTCCGCGCATCGCCCGCTGCAGCGCTTCAGCGAGGCGGCCGCCGCGAGGCAGGGCGGCGCGGGCCGCGGGCCACTGCATCGGGGCACCACAACCACAACCACCGCCACCGCCACCGCCACGGGGGGTTGGGCGGGTCGCAGCCTCTTGGATTGTGGACGGTCCAGGAAGGGGTCCGAGGGGTACGGCGGATGCGAAACCAAAGAAGACGCCGAACGCTTTCTTTTTTCGTGCTGGGCCTAGAGAGCAGAGATCCTCGGACGATGACGTTGCGAGCGGCACTGCGAGCACGCTGCATGGCTCGCACTCGGTCGATGGACGATGTGAGGCGAGCATCTTGCGAGAGTCACACACGACAAGAAGAACACGACACATACGACACGACAGGGCAGACACAGACATAACAAACAAAGGCACACACACTGCGCTCCCCTCAGCGGGCAGGGAAACGCGAGCCCGACGGAGTCCGGTGGCGGGGGCCCCCGCAGCCAGCCCCTGCACTGACAAGGGGTCATGGGTTTTGGTGCTAAGCCGCCGCCGCCGCTCGCTCTCGAATTGCGTCGCGCTGCTGCCCGTTCCCGGAGCGCAGAGCGCGATTTTGGTGGCCAGGGCCTTGCCTGAAGGGGGGCGGGGCAGGGGGGAGAATTGAGGACGTCACCGAGCGGGTGGGGCTGCCGGGAAGGTGGTGGGCGGGCGTGGATGCACCTCAAGTACGAGCGAGTGGCGGGAAGACCGCCCGCTACTCCGGCGGGAGAGTGCTCCCCCGCCGCCCCCTGGGTCACCCCGAGTGACCTCGCAGCCCACGCCGTGAGACACTGCTGTCAGGGGAATTGTTGGGGGCGTGCAAAAGCAGGTGCAAAGCCGCGATGCCTTCTCCATGTCGTGCTCCGCTGGTAGCACGGCTCGTGCTTTGATTCTCGCAGGCCGATGAGGTGAAGCAATGGCAAACACCAGGAAAGAGTGCGCCAATGCCCGCTGCGGCGCCTTGCCGGCGAAGCCCCCCAAAGCGTCCGCCGGAGGTGCAATCAATGACGGCTGGCCGGGTGGTCAAGAAGCCAGTCGCTAAAGTTGTTGAAGCCATGGCACACTTGGGGTAGTCTCGCAGTCTTCCCCACAGGCGCGCCTTGTCGGAAGAAAAATAGAACCCGTATAGAAAACCGCCGAAATTCGCAAAATGTCTAGTCCGAACGCCCGCCACATGACGCCCACCGCCGCCGCGTCGGTCGGCGCGCGCCGACGCCGACCATCACCACCGACCGACAGCTCGCACGGCCGTGCGGTGAGCAAAAATTGGGTCGCTGCGCGCCTGCCCGATGCTCTGCGACGTCTGGACGCTCGCCAGAAACGCCAGGAAGCTTGCCTTCCACCCCTGGGCCCGAGGGCGAACGGCAGTGGTCGGCAGCCTCTGCGTCGCTCCGATCGGCTCCTCGACCTCATCGCCTGCGACGAGCCAGCATGGCTCGTCGCTCGACGGCAGCCCGCTCAGTATGCTCTTGGCATTCTGTACAGCCTCGCCAGTTGGGGCAGACGTATTTTGAGAAATATGACAGGCTTGTTCGGAAGGAGAAATTTCCGGAAATTTACCATACCCGTGACAAGATCCTACTATTCATATACGAGTACTGTTCCCAATCATACTGTGCTCACTCAGCCCACGCGGCGCTCGTTGATGCGGAGCATTAAGGCCGTCTGGATGATATCTGCCAAGGTCTCCATTTGTTGGTCGCCGAACATTGACTTGAGCATGGAGAACACACGCTCCGCCGCGAAGCCGAGCTGCACGACGCGCCCTTGGAACTTGAGCACCTTGTGCTGGATCTTGTCGTTGACTTTGATGCCTTCCAGCGCTTCCTCGGTTCGCACTGGCGAGGCAGGCGCAGACTGGATGGTTGTCTCCTCCTGCGGTGCGGAATCGCCGGCAGCGGCACCTTGCAGGGTGGCGAGGTACTCCGTGTCCATGTCGTCGTCGCTCATTGCTTTCGAAGGTTGAGATTGGCGTGGGTTTTGGTGGCAAGGTTGACGCGAATGACACTGACGCCTGAATGACACTGACGCCCGATGACCTGCTTGACCGGTGACCGATGACCGCTGACCGCTGACCGATGACCAGCGTCAGCCTCTCCGCGGAGGCGCACCATCACTGCCGCGCGGGCCTGCCGGCTCAAGCAAGGCACGGCAGGCCCGCACGGTGCCTGGTCCAACATGGGTGTCCAACATGGGCGAAACGGAAAGGGGCGAAACTTGAGGGCGAAGAAATTTCTCGCAAATTTGCCGTGGTGGGGCACGAAATAAAGACGAAATAAATGAAAGAAATATCCTTACGCTGGGCAGGAAATCTACGTTTGCCCCAACTCGCCAGGCTCTCTGAGACGGCCTGCAGGGCCGGCGCGGACCGCCTCGGGCGCGATGGCCCTCCTCAGTACCTACCTCTTCGATGCCTGTCGGCTCTCCAATCTCGTCGCCGGCGGCAGGCCCGCATGGCGCGCTGCTCGACGGCAGCCTGCTCAGTACGCCTTGGACAGTGACTTCTGCCTCGCTGCTCTTACTGCAGCCGCCTCCGGGGCCGGCGCCAGCCGCCTCGCTTCGCCAGTGCTGTCTACGCCGGCGACACGCGTGTCGGCTCGCCGCCCGCGTCGCCCGCGGCGGGCCCGCATGGCGCGCCGCTCGTCGGGAGCGTTCCCAGCAGGCTGTGCAGGGCAGTCTGCCTCACTCAGGGCGCCGCCGCCGCTGCGCGGGGCCGCCGGCGCTGCTGCCGTGAACACTGCCACCGTGTACATCACCATCGCCTCTCTTCGTCGCCGATCTCGCCGACGCCGCTCGCCGCTCGCCGCCGCCCTGCCCTGCCCCGCCCAGCCCTCGCACAAACAAACCAACACACACACACATAGTTACACACACACATACAGACACACAAAACACACCCTGCCCCAACCTCGAGCGCCCCGCGCCCTCCCGCCCCACGCCCTGCGCCTCACGCCTCGCGTCCCACGCACGCCCCGCGCCCCGCGCCCCACGCCCCTCACCTCGCGCCTCACGCCTCCCTCCCCACCCTCTCAGGCATTTCTCCCCCCCTGCTGCTCGCCGACTCCTCCTCCCCCCGCATGACCGACGACTACCCGTCCTTCGGCAACTCCTCCCTCTTCGGCGCCAACGTCTGCTACCGGGGGACCGTCGCCCTCGGGCGTACTGGCTTGATCCCAGCGGCACACGTCTACGAGGGGGGGCTCCGAAAGGTCGGCATGCCTGGCATGTCGGGCGACTAGGCAGGTCATTGACCTCCCCCCCGCTTGTCCACCCGGCGTGAGGGGCGGGAGCGCAGCCATTCCAGCGGCCGGGAAAGTTTCTGAACGGCCGTGCATGCGCCTGCATGCCGGCTTACTAAGAAGGTCCCTCGCTCCCGCCCCTCTCCCGGAAGACGCGCGCCGGCCCGGGTGACTCGCTTGCGAGGTAGATCCCGTTCCAGCCAGAGGCCGCGTGACCACCACGGGGACGGCTGGTTGAAGGAGGAGAGGTCATCCGGATGTGGGCGGGACGCCCCCGGGCACCTGGTTGCTCTCCTCTTCCAGAGTCCCTCCCGACGGGGACCGGTCTTGGGCCATTCCAAAACGGCCAGGCCGCTCGCTTAAGGCTGATTGGCTAGACGAGCGGCCTACCTCCAACGGGGCGGTCTGGATCACGGGGGATGACATCCTGCCTCCCGGCACGCCGGGAGGAGGTGGTTGCTCCGCCGCCGGACCGCCCTCTCCACCACCCTCGCCCAGGGATCTACAACGCTGTCTTAAGGTCCGACAGGTTCGGCACCGGGCACCGCCTCGGTATACAAAATGCGCCTGCCGGCGGACCCTCACAGATAAGCTGTGGTCCGCTCCCAGTCTGGGCGTGGTCGAGACCGAGGTGTCGAACTGAGAGCCACTCCTGGATGCTGCCTCCGGCCACCGCTCGACTACCCACGCACATGGCCGGTCCTGTGGCTTGCCTGGGCTTGCTCAGAAGCATCAATTCGCGCACACCTTCGCTCTCTGGCTCCCGCGAGTGCGTTTAGGCCACTCAAGCAGGCGACGCCGAGCACCCGCAGCGCATCTCGCCGGGGCGCCACCAATCGACCCGACTGATTGGCAGCATCAAAGCCGACCCCATGACGGTCCTTTAGCCCACGAGATAGGCAGATGCGCCCTGATCTCGGTCCACAAGACGGCCAACGCCATGTCCGGCACCTGCTGGCTGCTTCACGGGGATGCCACCCCGGACACATGCTGCAGCCCCGAGTGGATGTATTGGTCGTTTGTGGGTCCCACAAGACTACTCTAGTAGGGGCCGGGCGCTGGAGCGTCGGCGGTACACCTGTGTTCAGATGTTGCACGGGTGAAATGGCTCCTCGTACAGGGTAGGAGGCAGGTGGTGGGTTTGAGTGTCGTGAGTGCTTGCAGCCGCGAGTGCAGCACCGTTTGTGACTCCCATGGATACAGTTGGGTGGGCCACGGTCCTGGGGTGGCGGTCCGGTGCGCCACAACAGCCTCCCCGGCTGACCCCCATCCAGTTCGACACCTCCATCCCGACCGTGGAACCCCAACTTCAACCGGTCATATCTCGGGCGGACTGGCACCTCAGGAGCTCATCCTGGGCGGTTTTGGGGAGTCTTGGGGGTGTGCTTGAAGGTGGTAAACAGAGTTTTGCACCGCAGCTTAACCGAGGGGCGTGCTGAGCACCGTGAAAACAGCGGACCACAATATTTACTCGAGTATCACAGATCACACAGAACCGGGCGGCATATTCCGTTTCTGCCGCGCTCTCCTACCCCAAGTGCTCTCTCGCCTGGCAAGCGTCGCCACCGAGTGTCCGCACACGGGACAGCTCTGGAGCCGCCTCGCCACCATGTCCACCACCCGCACCGCGCTGCTCGACAGCCAAGACGACAACGCGGAGACGGACGCGACCGCGCCTGGCGACGCCGCGCCGGCCGAGGCGCCGCCAAAGTTCACGCTGCGCGGCGAGGCGTGGACGATGTTCATGCTCGGCTGGCCCATGGTGGTGAGCTTCGTGTGCCGGATCGGCATGGCCTCCACAGACACCGCCTTTGTCGGCCACCTCACCAACGCGACGACCGGCGTCTTCTTTGACCGCCCGTACAGCGGGGAGGAGTACCTCGCCGCGGCGTCGCTCTCCGACATGGTGGTCAACATCCTGATCGTGCCTCCGCTCGCCTTCAACCAGGTGCTCAACGCGCTGGTCGGGCAGGCGCTCGGTTCGGACAACAAGAAGATGGCCGGCACGTGGCTGCAGCTCTCCGTCTTCTTCCTCACGACGAGCTACCTGCCCTTCATGCTGATCCAGTACCTCTTCACCGCCGACGTGCTCAAGCTGCTCGGCTTCAACCACGACATCTGCGAGCTCGCCGGCGTGTACGCGCGCTGGAACCTCTTCTGGCCCATCCCGAACGGCATCTACCAGTGCATGCGCTTCTACTTCCAGGCGCAGGGCATGCCGCGCCCCGCGATGTGGAACAACCTCGCCTTTGTCCTCGTCAACGCGCTCCTCAACTGGACCTTCGTCTTCGGAGGGCCGCTCCAGTACGCCTGCGGCTGGACAGGGTTCGGATTCATCGGCGCAGCGACGTCTCTCCGGCAGGCGCCTGGAAGCACGCCCGAGCCTTCTCAAGACCATGCCTGTAGGCGCAGCGATGTCCATCTCGGCGTCGCGCTGCCTGCAGCCCCTCACGTACTGGCTGTACATGTTTGTCTACCGCCGCGCGCACCTCGAGACCTGGCCCGGCCTCTCGTCGGCCTTCCTGCGACCGGACCGCGTCCGCCGCTTCCTGGCGCAGGCGCTGCCCCTCATCGGCACGCTCCTCTTCCAACCGCCTGGACGCGTCCTTGCGCACGTCCGTGACATGTCCGTGACACGTCCCGCAGGCACGCTCATTTTCCAGTCCGTCTCGGGGCAGGTCACCACGCTGCTCATCGCGCAGCTCGGCGCCCTCGCCACTTCCGCCTCGCCCGCCGTGAAGCTTCCCCGAACCTTCGGAGCCTTCCCGCAGGCACCCTCGCCATCTCCGCTTCGTCCGCCGTCTCGGCGGCGACGCAGGTGGCCTCGTCCGGCCTCTCCGCCGCTTTCACCGCCGTCGCCGCCGTTCGCATCGGCTTCCACCTCGGCCGCGGAGACGTGCGCGCCTCAAAGGCGGCGATGTGGATCGTCGTCGGCACGAGCGTCGGCACGAGCCTGCTCACCGTCGCTGTGCTCTGGCCGTTGCGCGCGCAGCTCTGCGAGCTCGTCACTTCGGACAGCGAGGTCGTGCCCGTCGCTTCGATGCTGGTCGCCGCCGCCTTTGTCGCCGCCGGCTTGCCGCAGCCGAGCATCGGTTTGGTCGGAACCTCCCATGAACTTGCTCGGGACCCTCCCCATAGGTCTGTCGCAGCTGGTGAGCATCGGCACGTCGGGCGTCCTCTCAGGCCAGGGCCGCACCCCTTCTGATGGCGCCGCTGAACCTTCTTCCGAACCCTCTCTTGACCTTCCTACAGGTCAGGGCCGAACGTTCGTGACGACGCTGCTCTCGTTTGGCTTCGAGCTGCCGACCTCGATCGGCGGCACCGCCCTGCTCGTCTACGTCGCAAAGCTGCGCGGCAAGGAGGGGCTGCTCGCGGCAACGCCGGAGCCTTCTCGCCCCTTCTCTGAACCCTCTCGGAAGCTGCCTGCAGGAGGGGCTGCTAGCGATCACGTGGGCGGGCGGCGGCTTCTCGCTCGTCGAGGTGGGCGTCGTCGCGCTCATCATCCTCTGCGGCGACTGGAGGCGCTTCGCGGCCGACGCAAAGGCGCGGCAGGAGGCCGACAGCCAGCCGCCCGCCGCGGCCGACGCGGAGGGGGGCGACGGCGGCGAGAGCGGCGGCGCGGCGGCGGGGGAAGGGACACCCGCCGACGGCGCAGCCGAGGCGCAGGACCAGGGCTCGAGATGAAGGGAGAGGGGCGTTGGGGAGCTCCGCGCGGTTCCGACTTCCGTGGAGATATTTTAGGCGCGGGGTGTAGAGTTTGAAGGTGGGAGAAGAGCCGCCCATATGTCAGCCGATCGTGCAGTGAGATCCGATCTGGCAGATGCATCATGCGCATGGCGGGCACAGATGCTGTGACGGGCCGGTTCAGACATCAGAGAATAATAGTTAATACGTCTTCCTGCGTATGCAACATTCTGATATACTGATCGTCTCCCACGCTCCACCTCGCGTGAGCCGTGAGCGCGTCACGGCAAAAAGAGTTTTTAATTAAAGTATGTCGCTACGTAACTCGTGAGAAATTCTACAAAAAAGCTGCCGGTTTCACAGCACACACACACTGCTCAGTGGTCAGAGTGGACAAAAGAGAGAGAGGTCTCTCTCTCTCTCTCTCTCTCTCTCTCTCTCTCTCTCTCTCTCTCTCTCTCTCTCTCTCTCTCTCTCTCTCTCTCTCTCAGTGGACACCGCTGGACAGGTGAAATGGGGTGATTTGCAACCCCTGCCTAGATGAGTACAGCTAAACAGTACCCGGTAAGTATAAAAGTTTTGGCCAAAACCCCCCACAATGGCTGACCCCGGGGCATGGCCTCTCTGGGTTTGAGCTAAGGCGGCCTCCTCCGGGTCCGCAACTCGCACGGCGGGTCCACGTCCAAGCGAGCATCCTCGGCCCGCGCTTCTCCTTTCGCAGGGCGCGACCGAGGAGGTGATCCGCTGTGCACCAATCTGTGCTTTTTGTCGACAATCGCTTGCTCTCTGTGCACGCTGCACCTGCAACGCCAGGGGCTGTGCTTTGAGAATGCCTCGCAGCACCGCTGCGCCAGTGGATTGAGCCGCTGCGCGACCTCCATTGGTGCGGTGCGGAGGCAGGGCGGCTCCGCGCATGCATATCATTCTGGCGAGCGGCCGCCGCGCTTTTCTGACTGACGTTTCATCGTCGAATTGCTTCATCGTCGAATTGCCCGAATGGTAAAATGCAACTTTGGCATTCGGTAAAAGTTAGCCGAATGGTTTTGGGGGGGGAAACCAAAGGGGAAGGTTGGCTTCCACGAGCTAAAGGTCAACATCCTCTCCGGCTACGATCTGGTCCTCACGGGGTGGTAGGACCCGTCTCCTCCAGATCGAGACGGACGGACTTCATGAACGGCCGAGCAATATCTCTTCATTAATATTATTAATTGATGCTTTTTGCACGGCTGAGCCCCCCCTCCCTCCCCCGCGCCCAGTCCCTGCCCTCTCCCGCCACGCGCTCCGTCCGAGCCCTCTCCCCTCTTGCACAACAGGAATTTTGACAATTAATCAGATGGGCTTGCCCATCCCGGAGTGGTTCGATCCCACACAAACCCGATAGCAACTGACGGCGTCGGCGAGGGCCAGCAGTATACGACGACGACGGCATCTCACACCCCGCGCTGGCCAGCGCCATCAGCCCCTCACGGCCCGGCCCAACCTTCCCTTCCCCACCCTCGCCTCCAGTGCCTCCAAATCAAGCCGTCGCACCTCTCTTCTTCAGCGAATGCAGCGGCAGCACCACGTCAGAAGCCGGGCCGACTGGCGGACCTGCATGCCCAGCCATGCCCCCCACTCCCCACCCGCTTGGATTGATCAGCTGACAGCTCCACCAGCTCCACCACCGTGTGTCGTGTCATGAAGCATGATAGATAGACATAGAAAGCATGAACCATCGAAAGGTCTGGTCTCCAAAAAGAGCTGTAGCGGGCTGCGCGCGCCCGCGCCCCGCCCCTTTTGCGCAGCAACACCTTAAATGTCATGGCCCTCCAAATTCGGGTCGGAGCGTAGCGGAGTGGGCCCCGAGTTTGTGAAAAGGGCTAGGGTTGCCTAACGTTAATTTGGGGCCTAACAGTTGCGCTATTGTTGGCTAAAATCCTCAACGTTGTTCAAGTGTTCACCCCAGCCCATGCTGTTACTGTTTGTTACTGTTGTTACTGTTGTTCAGCGGCCAGCAAGCAGAAAATGGCAAAAACCCCGGGTAAAACCCGAAAATACCTGGGATTTTCCGGGTATTTTCGGGTATTACCCGCACTGGACACTAGAGATCGTCGTGGCTCACTGCCAGGCCTTCCTTACTGTTGTTCAGTCGGCCTAACGTTAGCTACTGTTGTTGGGGGGCCCCACTGTTGTTCTGTTGTTACTGTTAACACTAGCAACACTGTTCAGCTCTTAACGTTAGGCAACCCTAAAAAGGGCGACAGAGGCTTGCGTCCTAGCCTCCACGACAACGCCTCCCCGGCGCAGAGGGGCCCCCGGAGGGATGCTCAACCGCGCCATGCGACAGCCCGTCGGCGCTGCATCGTGTATTGCTGCACAATTGACCACCTGCATAGCTCGCGGCCTTAGTATCAAGCATTCAGTGACGACCTGATCGTGCGGCCAGTAGGAAGGTGTCCTTCCAGCGCGTGCACGCTTCTGACGCAATGCGCGTCACAAACTGCCTCGGATCGGCTGCTGGCACTCTCGAGGCTATGCCTACACAGCCTCGCGCGCATGGGCAGTCAAGAGGGATCATGCACCTTCTCACGACAGCGCCGGTGCCTCTCTCTTGGACCGGCAAACGTGGTGGTCTCGTGTCACCGATGTGGGACCAGTGCGGCATCGCGCCATCGACAGCTCTGAACTGCGCCTCACCACTGACCGGGAAGGCCGCCAAGTGGGCCAGCACAGGTCACACATTGTGGCAGCAGTCAGCAGTGCATGTCTGATAGCTAGAGCAGCAGCATCAGGGTCGCAGGGTCGGATCGTGTCAAGCCTCTCGCCCGGCCGGCCGCGTGCAGACGTCGGCCTGTCTGCTGATTTTTGGCCGTGATCAGTCGGCGGTCAGTACGACCGATCAGGTCGGAGTTTTCTGATGGTTGAAGGGTCTATCTGTATGTACTCCTCGAGATCTCTCCAAATCTGCCCTCTGTTAGACCGGGTTAGATCGGGAAGTTGGTAGTATGAGCGAGTATGAGCGCCGGGGCCCCGTTTCCGCACTGCTGCACGGCGCACGGTGCCTCCGGGGGCCCCCGCCTCCCCCCAGAGGGAACACATTATCGGAAGAAAGAAAGAAAGAAGACAGACAAACCCAAAACGAGGGATGGGGGCGCGGGCGGAGGAGAGGGTCCACACCTGCACGAGCAGGATTTTGGAAGGACGATCAGGGGCACAGGTGGGGCTCTCCTGCTCCACATTGTGTGTGTGTGTGTGTGTGTGTGTGTGTGTGTGTGTGTGTGTGTGTGTGTGTGTGTGTGTGTGTGCTCGCTCGCTCGCTCGAACGCGCGCGCGCGCGAGCGCGAGCAAGAGCGCGCGGGCGCTGCCCGCGGCGCTGCTAGAGTTGCCCATCTCTCTTCATATCGGGGGGCCGGGCGGGTTTTTCTCTTGCTGTTCCTTTGCGAGCGCGCCAGCGGCGGATTCGGCGATGCTCCCAGCCTCGCTGTGCGCCGCTGGCCTCCTCCTCGTCGGCGCTGGACTATCTCAGCCCTTCTACCTCTTCATCGCCGCAAATCCGTGGGCTCAGCTGGTCGTCGTTGGCGTGGCCCTCATCACGGCTGGCCTGATGTCAGCACTACGGGAGGAGGGCCTCGCGGCGCTCCTTCCCACGCCGCTGCGGCTCTGCCTCTACGAGTCGCCCTTCGCGCTCGGACTCCATGTCCGCAATGCGGCCCGCTCGCTGCAGCCGGGACAGATCTCGCTCCAGCCAGACCCGCTTGTATCGCAGCTTGCGCGAGTCGCCGCCCTTTGCTGCCTAGACCTCGAGGATGCGCTCGTGCGCGAGATCGTCTCCTCGCTCGACGCCGACTTTCGCGAGGCTGCCTTCAACCCGTGCGCTCGCTCCCTCCACCCGACCCTCCTCAGCGTCGTGCTCGGCCGCCGCGGGCTGGCTCAGCTTGCCGCGATCGAGCGCGAGAAGCTTCGCCGTGGCCCGCAGAGCCCGGTGCCACCGGCGGCAGCCGGGGGTGACGGCGACCCTCCGGTGCTCCGGCGGCGCGACACCAAGGGCATCGCGCGCGAGGTGTTGCGGCTGCACGGCAAGAGCAGCGGGAAGAGCCCTCTCAGCCCGGGCGCTGCCGACGAGTCCGACGCCGCGTCTGCCGCCGGAGACCTGGACAAGTCGTCGGGCAGCGGCGCCATCGGCGACCTCGCCCTCGCGTGGAAGATCGTCTCCCTCCACCTCGTCGTCCCGCTCTGGAGGGCTAGCGTCGCCCGCGCCAGAGTGCGCCGCAGCCGCAGCCCTCGCCAGCCCCCTCGCTCCCCTCCCAGAGAGGAGTTGACCCTCCCCCTCCCCCCTCCCAGAGACGCCTCCGCCGCCTCGCAGGCGTCGGCTCCGTGGAGGCTCGTCGTGGCGACCTGGACGGCGCTCGCGCAGAGCTGGCTCGTCCTGGCGGCTTCGGCCGCCTATGCGTGGCTGATGGCGTGGGTGCGGCAACCGCCCGCGCGCAAGGCGGCCGGCGGCGAGAACGGGGAGAAGGGCTCGGAGGCCGCGAACGCGCCTCGGCGCGGCCGCAGGCAGAGCCTCTTCGGTCGGCGGCAGAGCCTGGAGGCGTGAGGCTGTGCTTGCGCGCGGGGAGGAGGCACGGGGTTCCCTCTTTGTGCATGGGTGCGCTACGACGCTTGTGAGTTGCGACTCTTGATGAGCCTTGTGCCTGTAGTTGCCAGTTCGCATCCGCTCTCATCGCTCTCGGAGTTGACGGTTGTACGGTGTCGCTCCCCGAGTCCTGTGGTCTCTGCTGGTCTGTCTCTGTGTCTCTAGTCTGTCTGTGGTCCAACGTCTCAAGAGTTGAGCTGCCTCTCCGCGGATCTCCGTGCGTGACTTTGATTGTTTTTGTCCGGGGAGCGGGGGCGGGGGGGCGCGCGGGGGGTTCGTGGTACGTAAAGCCGTAGGTGGTTGCCGCTCCGTTTCTAAAAAAACCTCGGACATTTTACGAACTCCTTGGCGACGTGCGCGTCGCGTCGCCAAGGCTCTGCGACCTCGGTCGTACAATCGGCGACCTCGGTCGCACAACCGGCCGGATGCGCGGGTTTTCAGCCAGGTTCCCGCGCACCGGCCACGAACTCGACTCGCACAGCAAAAAAATCCGGACCACGAAGCGCCGCCCGCGCGCCCATTGACCCCCCAATCAGCCCTCTTGCTGTCCCTCAATCCCCACCCGCCAGATGTACTGCCCTCGCCCACCCAATACTCCCACCCTCCTGACCCGGACAGTCCAGGTACAGGAAAAGCGGGGAGCGGGGCCCGATCCAAGGAGCACCCCGTCGGCCCGGGAGGGCTGTGAATTTCGGCGCGAGCGGAAGGCTGCCTGCAGACGCTCAGCCCCCGGCTGAGCTGCCGAATCCTCCCGGCTAATCCCCTGACCTGCCGCCTGAAACGGGACGACATTACACCACCTCACACACACTCCCCCCTCAGGGCTAAGCAGTGCGCAAGTCCACCCGAACTCTAGGCGAGGCGTCGACCACTCCTTCGGAATAGCTCTGTCAGTGGCTGCACTAGACGCCCAGAGATGGCGCGCGGCGCGGGCGGATGACTGCGGAAGAGAAAATGCGGAGAGGCTAGCTCGCAGGTAGATGTGCTCAGCCAAGGGTAGGGGATGAGGGGAATGTGTCAGTGTGGGGGGTGCACCAACCGCAGAGCGTTGTGTTTTGCCTTTAAGACTTGAACAGTTTTTTTTTTGCCGCTCCGTTTCTCTGTTCTGGCCTTTTCTCCGTGTTTACTTCGAGTTTTGTGTCCGGCAGAGAAGACACAGACGCCCCAAAACACGCCTCGACCTCGTCACGCGGCAAGTGCTACAGGCTCGGCACTCCGGCGGAGCGTGTCGCTCTGAACCAGCAACACCGTCTGCGTCTCCTCGATCCTCGATGCGCGTCGCTCCAACAGCACCTCACGGATCATCACATCGCCTCCGGCCCGCTCGGCGACGGAGCTCCCGAGCCGGTCGCGTTGAGCGGCTCTCTGTGCCCGCGGTGCACCCCCTCCACGGCGCCCGCTTCCGGCGCCCGCCACGGTCCCGCCCGCGAGGCTCGCTCCACGCGTCTACCGGCGCATCACAGCCCAGCCTGCGTGCGGTAGTGGTCGGTCAGCCTCACCTTACCGCCCTGCGGCCGGCGGAAGCCGCCCGCCGCCGCGCCGCCCGCCGGCATGCCCGCGGGAGGACAGCCTCCGTGCGGGCCTGCCCCCTTGGAGAGGCAGGCCCCCGGGGGCCCTCCTCCTGCGCCGGGGTGGTGGGGGGCGGGCGGGGCAGGGCCGCCCGTCCTCGGGCTGCCGCCCACCCCCCCTCCCACCCCCCCTCCCATCCCCATTCCCATCCCTCCGGTGGGGGGCGGCGGCGGCGCGGCGCGCAGCTCCTCCTGCCGCTTCTCCTCCGCCTAGACAGGGACGTGTCCGAGACATGTCACCGACGGGGGTCCTCGACGGCTCCGCCGCCGCCTCCTCCGTCCGGAGCCATCTTTCTTGGAGCCAGTCCGACGGCTGCTCAACT